CGAAGCTGCTCCGTTCCGCGCCGCCGCCGTTCCGGCCCCGCTGCCGGGCGGAGTCGGGGACCCGCGGGCGGTCGGACACGGCCCCACCGGGGTAAAGCGAAATGACGGTGGTAATATGAGCGTAGAATCATGGAATGGCTTGGGCGGGAAAGGACCTTTAAAGGCCGTCTGGTCCAACCCCCCCCTGCAACGAGCAGGGACATCTTCAACTAGAGCAGCGTGCTCAGAGCCCCGTCCAGCCTGGCCTTGAACACCTCCGGGGTTGGGGCAGCCACAGCTTCTCTGGGCAAGCTGGGTCAGTGCCTCACCACCCTCACAGTAAAGCATTTCTTCCTTATATCTAGTCTAAATCTCCACCTTTTCAGTTTAAAACCGTGCCCCCTTGTCCTACCGCTCCCCTGCCTGATCAAGAGTCCCTCTCCAGCTTTCCTGTAGTCCCTTTAGGGACTGGAAGGGGCTCTAAGGTCTCCCTGGAGTCTTCTCCAGGCTGAACAACCCCAACTCTCAGCCTGTCCTCACAGCAGAGGGGCTCCAGCCCTCACAGCATTTCCTTGGCCTCCCCTGGACCCACACCAAGAGGTCCATGTCCCTCCTGTGCTGAGGGCTCCAGAGCTGGAGGCAGCACTGCTGTTGGGGTCTCACCAGATCAGAACAGAGCAGAGGGGCAGCATCCCCTCCCTCGCCCTGCTGGCCACGCTGCTGGGGATGCAGCCCAGGATGTGGTTGGCTTTCTGGGCTGTGAGCACACGTTGTCAGCTCATGTCCAGCTCTTCACCCACCAGTACCCCCAAGTCCTTCTCCCCAGGGCCGCTCTCCATCCCTTCATCCCCCAGCCTGTACTGATGCTGGGGGTTGCCCCAACCCAGGTGCAGGACCTTGCACTTGGCCTTCTTGAGCCTCATGAGGTTCATACAGGCCCACCTCTCGAGCTCGTCCAGGTCCTTCTTGAAGGCGTCTCATCCTTCAGGCTTGTTGACTGCACCACTCAGTTTGGTGTCATCCACAAACTTGCTGGGGGTGCACACTATCCCACTGTCATTGATGAAGATATTGAACAGTACTGGCCCCAATACATACCCCTGACGGACACAACTTGTCACCGATCTTCATCTGGACATTGAGCTGTTGACCACTACCCTCTGGATGCAACCATGCAACCAATTCCTCGTGCACCAAACAGTCCACCCATCAAATCCATATCTCTCCAATTTAGAGAGAGGGTGTTGTGGAGGACTGTGCCAAAGGCCTTACAGAAGTCCAGATAGATGACATCCATAGCTCTTCCCTTGTCCACTGATATATTTACTCCATCATAGAAGGCCACTAGATTGGTCAGGCAGGATTTGCCCTTGGTGAAGCCATGCTGGCTGTCTCGAATCACCTCCCTGTCCTCCATGTGCCTTAGCATAGCTTCTAGGAGGATCTGTTCCATGATCTTCCCAGACACAGAGGTGAGGCTGACAGGTCAGTAGTTCCCAGGGTCCTCCTCTGTACGCTTTTTAAAGAAGGGTGCAATATTTCCCTTTTTCCAATCACTGGGGAATTCACCTGATTGCCGTGACTTTTCAAATATCATGGAGAGTGGCTTGGCAAATACGTCAGCCAATTCCCTCAGGACTCTGGGATGCTCTCATATGTTCAGGTTCCTCAGGTGGTCTTCTCTTACAGTGGGACCGACTTTGCTCCCCCAGTCCCTGCCTTGTGGTCCATCCACTCCAGAGGTGTGGGGAGAGAAGTTGCCAGTGAAGACTGAGGCAAAAAAGTTATTGAGTACCTCAGCCTTCTCCTCGTCCATTGTTACCAGTTTGCCAGTCCTGCTCATCGGGGGGGTATGCTTTCTTTGAACTTCCTTTTCTGGCTGACGTACCTGTAGAAGCCTTTTGAATTATTCTTTGCATCCATTGCCAAGTTCAGCTCCAGCTGGTAGTCCATGGTGTTTTGCCACAACCGCACAGATAAATAAAATAGCTGAAACAGGCGTTCCTGGGGGGCTCCTGGCAGCCCATGGCCACCCCCGAGCGAAGGGCCCAGGGAAGGTACCACAGGCTCAGACACCATGTCCTGGTTTCAGCTGAAACAGAGTTAATTTTCTTTCTAGTGGTTGCCGTGTCTCAGATTTGGTAGGAAAGGAATGTTAATAATACATATTGTTTTAGTTGTTGCTAGGCAATGTTTGTAGTTTTCAAAGACCTTTTTTCAGCCTCCCATAGAAGCAGAGAAGAAGCCGAGACAGAAGGATGGAACAGCCAACGGAATATTCCGTACCACAGATGTCATGCTCAGTGTATCAATGCGGTTAGACTGGGGGTGGGTACCTGTGATCACTGCTCAGGACAGTGCCAGTTCCCTGGGTGGTGAGAGTGACTTGTGTCATTATTATTATTGTTATTTTCCTTTTCTGATATTGATCTATTAAACTATCTTCATCTCAACCCACAAGGGTTTTTTGGGGTTTTTTCCCTTTTTTCCTTTCTTCTCCTCTTCACCATTTTCTCCCTGCCCTTCTTGGATTATTGTTATTTTCCTTTTCTGATATTGATCTATTAAACTATCTTCATCTCAACCCATAAGGGTTTTTTTTGGGTTTTTTCCCTTTTTTCCTTTCCTCTCCTCTTCACCCTCTTCTCCCTGCCCTTCTTGGGAGGGAAGAGGGGAAGCAAGCTGCCAGATGGGGTTAAACCATGACACAGTGACAGCACCACCACAGCCACAACACCAGAACTGGCCACCTTTATTGCCGCCAATGGCCTCTGGCACAGGGGAAGTGGGTGGGGAGGGAGCCATGGACCCCCAGCTCTCAGTAGCAAAGGGTTTGGGCCCCGGGGGAGCTTGTGCCCCCGACTGCTGTCCAGAGAAAGTCAGGCAGTGAGGGACGCCATGGCAGAACCGGTGGTCTTCAGCTCCAGCAGCAGGGCCAGCAGGAAGGGAAGGGGTGAAGGGGGCATCGTTGGTGCTGGATGTCCTTCTCCTCACCTTATCTCTATCCCCGGGGCTGATAGTGAACATCTGCTCCAAGCAGCAGGAAATTCTGGGAGAAAGAGAGAAAGTGTGGGGCTGCTACAGGCCCTGGCAGCCGCTTTCTGTTGCGGGCTGCCATGCTCCCCAGCACCCACCACGTTTTGGGGAAGGAGGATGGAAGGGCATGTGTGGTTCTGCCCTGTGCCTAATTTGAGCCCTGGAAGGGCTCTGAGGACATTTCACAGCCAGGCCTCGCAATAACTATTCAGCATCCTTGTAGTGGTGCCCATCTGGGGCTTCCCCAAGGCGTCCCACAAGAGGATCTTTCTCTGCTCCCCAGTCCCACAGGGTTCCTTCCACCAGGGATGGCAGGCGCTGCCTGTCCCACCAAAGGCAGATGTGTCTGGCAGCAACTGCTCCTCATGCACACACATGACCGCCAGCCGGGAAAGGCAAGAACTCAGAGTAACATTGCCACAGAGCTGCACGGGCTATAAAGGGTCATAGGAAATCCAGGCCCCAGGTTTAAGAACTGGAGAATGACGCGGTGCTGCCCTGGGGGTGCAAAGTGCAGATCCCCACTGTGTGCGTGGGAAAAGGGGGTCTCTGGTTTGCAGCTGTGCTGCTGGGACCCCAGTAAAGTGCACCCTCCTGCCCACCGCATCCCAGCACGGGAAGGGCAACTGGCTTTGTGCTGTGCAGCCAGCGGCAGGCAGCCAGTCTCGCTGGCAGGAGGCTCGGGGGCGGCAGGATGGGCTCTGGCTGGGGCTGGGTGCTCCCCTCACTCACCTGGTGAAACTGCACGAGGATATTGGAGAGCTGTATTCTGTCCAGCAGAGGCAGAGGGAAACCCTGATCTAACCTGGCTGGAAAAGACAACACACATGGCCACATTGGAACTGGAATGGGAGAAAGAGGGAGGACAGGCCGTGCAAAGCAGGCAGCCACCTCCCCCCCAGCCCTTTCTTCACCCCCACTGCTGCAGGAGTAGCCAGAGGAAAATCCTCCCAAGCTCCACAGAAGGGCTGGGGGCTGCATGTTGTGCCCTGCCACCCCCCGGGCCCCTGGCAGCCGCCAGCCCCGCTCTGGCCCCATGTGCTGGGGAGTCATGAGAAGCAGCGAGCAGGGGAGAGGGTCTGGAAAGCATTAGGGTGTGCATCGTGCTCATTTTTTTCCATTGTGTTCACTGCTGGATGCGTGTCACAGCACCGAGAGGCTCCTGCTCGCTGCTGCCCACAGCCTGCATCTGCCGGCGGCTTTTACGGCCATCTCCTGCACTCGCTGCAGGCTTTATCCACTGACCAGGCTTGGCAACGGCGATTTAATTATTGAGCTGGGGCTGCTCGGACAGAGTGACCTGGCC